ATCAGCTATGTAAATTTGTCCTGCAGATAACTTTTTACTGTCAATGAGTTCAACGAATTCATCTGCAAATAGTTCAGAAGTTTCAGTATCAGCTGAAGCTTTTACTCCTGAAATTTTTAATTGCCTTATACCATGGTGATTTTAAAATTTGGTTAACCAACCTATCAAATATGTGCACTGAGGTTTTAAGTTCATTTCTTCATGAAATATTTTGGCTTGAGCCATTAGCATTAGACCCGTCAATGGCATGCCCTCGCTGCGATGCTGTCTGACCCATTCAATTATTACTTTGTCATGATCGTTGCATTTAGCATAGCAAATAAATTTTCTATTGATCATTGCGATTGGAAAGTCCGAATCCACAAAAAATTCGTAAAGTTCCTTTTTCTGTTATGTCATATACACTAATGCCATACTCCTTGCAAAATTTTGAGATGGATATACCTATATCCAGATTTTTACAGCAATTCCACTTCTTGTGTAATGGACATCAAAACATGCTTTCGCTTTGTAGATCCAGAATTAGAAACTCTTTTCAAGATAATTGGAAGTTCAAACTTTAATTTTCATAAAATTGTTGTAATAATAACAGCCTATGAAAAGTAATAAGCTGGATCAAATCAGAAAGTTAAGGAACTTTACTGGAAAGAATTAAAGAAAATTCGCTGGAATCACTAAAGCATAATTTTAACCTAGTTTAACAGCATCCGTTATGCATTATTGGTTATGTAGCATGAGATTGACAATGAAAGACAAGTTTTTCCATTAAATTTTGTCTTACTCCAATCATGCACTGAGACAATTAAGCATGAATTGTATTAATTTAGTTATTTATTATACTTATGTATATTTCTTGTACATGCTTAAAGCTTATCTGAAATCGGGAATAAATAAATTCCGTTATATACTTAAGCTTACTGAGGGCCGATGCTAGATATTTTATTGCTTGATGCAGTCTCTGTGGGTCCTAAATTCTGCTACCGAGTGCCTTCTAAATTTTTGCCATCCCTAAATTTTGAGTCCCAGTGCATTTCCTAAATTAAAAAAATTTTGTCTAAACTCGATGCTTCTCTAAATTCCAAAAATCTTGTCTTCCCTAAATGCTGTGCCGCCTGGTGCGGTCATATGAGCTGTGGCTCCGGTTCTGGGTTTACGTGAAAATCAAATCAGTTATTCTTAATTCAAATAGCACTAAATGTAATTTTGTCCTATTAACCAAATCTATTTTAACATATGAAAAGAAATTTTTATTAAACTGTTTCCTCGTCAACATTTAGTGCATGATTCTAATCTCCTTGCATTTAACCGAAATCTATAGTCATCGCCAAGCTTAATGTCAACATAAAAGGTTACTGTACTCTTTGTTATTAAATTACTAATATAAAATAAGGTTGTTTAGGCATCGCTGCATGAGTCATTACTCAAGTTATCGTGTTGATAAACATGATAAAAATATAATAAATAATGATTCACCAGGTTGACATCAGGGATTATGAGTATTAGTTGACCTTAGTTAAAATCCACGATGTTTCTGTCTAGAATGTTTCAGTTTGAGATGAATGCCAAGCAGATACGCAGCTACGGAGCGAAATTATTGATCACATAAATTTATGCTAAAATGATTATTTCTTCAATAATGAAGTATTTTATTTAGTACTGAAGTGAAATTAAGAATCAAGACCCTCCATGTGTTTTATTAAGGGGGGGAATCAAATGTGCATGCGTAAAGCATAAAAAAATTCCACAAAAAATTTGTTGGTGGTTTAAAGGTCTGGATTTTAGATCATTCTGAATACTGGACATCAAATCTTTCACTTTGTACTGTAATTTTAGTAATTAAAAGGGAGAAAATGAAACACATGTTAATTGAAAAGACTTTTGTTACTGCTTAATATGAGTAGGTGAATGATACAATTACTTTTTTTATATATATATTTGGTGATTTTTGCTTAGGGCAAGTTCTAACACATTAAATATTTCGCAGTAATGAGAACACACTTTTTTATGCCTTTCGTAACGAATACTCTTCTTTCTTTATAAAAGTCAATCTCTATTACTAAATTCAGATACTTCCTGTGCCCTTTTTTACAATTAATTTAACTTATTTAGAGTGAACGTGTAGGATGAAAAAATTGTGGAACATGCAAAAACTGTGATTTCCACACATGGTTCCATTTGACTTCTCAAAGGATATGACACCAACGAATTTAACTTCTTGTGCAGTAATGGCTCTTTATCTTCTTCACTGTCTATGCTTTCACCATTGGCTGGTGTTATAAAATCATCCAGTTCTTCATCCGTCATTTCATAGTCATCATTCTTTGATTTCTCCTTCTATATCTGAAAATTCTTCACTGTGTATTGCTCTTGCAGTTTGTGCAATTTCCTTGGCTTCATTTTTAATCAATGGAAATCCTGTAAAATTGTTGAGAACTTTTGACCAGCCCTGATGTCAGCGAGCATTCTTTGTTGTTGAATTCACTTGTTCCCATGCAAGTTTAATTATTTTTATGCAGTGTCTTGTGTTTAATTACATCCAGAAATCATTAGTATGTCATGATTTTGTTATGTATTAATTATTTATTAATTTCAAGCTTTAAGTTGTTTGCTTACTTATTTCTGTTTGATCAGTAATTGAAGTTATTTTTTGCTTTAGTTGTTTAAAGTTAGTTGTAAGTTTTAAGCTGTAAACTTCTGGTAAACTTTAATTTAAGTTGGAAGCTTTAAAAGTTTTCTTAAAGTGAAGTTGTTTAATTTTAATTTGAGTTTAGAGACTTGAAATGTGTTAATTTTTTTTTTTTTTTTTTTTTTTTTTTGAGTTTGGTTAACGTCTACCCTCTTTCTGCTAAAGTCTTTTGAATCAATAATTTCTGGTTGTAAGGTGTTGAAGAAATATAATTTTTAAGGTTTTAATCAGCTTTTGTGTTTGCTGAATTGGATTGATTGTTAAAGAGACTTTAATTTCAAGTATTGAGTATTATCTCAATTTAAAAATAGAAATTCTGAATTTAACTAATGGAAATTTATATGCTTTTGTACAGAAAATTTGTGCCTTTCTGGTGGAATTATAGGTTTTTGCTTAGCTTAATTGCTTGAGAAGTTATTTGTAATTAAATATATATTTTTAGCAGAAATGGCACATTTTCTGACTTCAAAATGTTCACTTAGAAGTGCAGTTTTTAAGCTTCCAAAGCTGGGTTTTGACAGGTGATGAATGTTTACTCTCACCCATTTCCAGAGGGGTGAATCTTCCCGTGAAAAGGGTTATTTGGTTTGGCATGTTTTTTAGCGAGAAAATTTAAGAGGTTGAATTTTTCTTTAAAAAAATTTAGAAATTTTTATATGCTTTTGTTCTTGGCGTGGTTGCAGATTTTTCTCATCTCTTTTGGGAAGTTTTGGGAATGTGGAAGTTTTCTGATTTAAAAACTCTTGCGCACCCGTTAGATGGAGATTGGACACACAAAAATTTCTGGGCCAGCGGAGTGTAGAAGGCGAAAAAGAAAAGCTCCAGCGAAATTACTTTCACCAGTTCCGACATAATTAAACTCCAGCTTTTGGGGAGTTCTTTATCGAAGGAGATTATTTCAACCTCTTCAGATTGCCAGTGCCTATTGTGTCGAATCATCTGTCACCTATAGAAAACTCTGTGCACGAAGTCCAATGAAGTTCGCTGACGTGTCACTCCAGTGGAGTAGGCCTAATGCAGATGGAAGGAGTCAAAAATTTATGATGTTTCCCTCCAGTGCAATGGTCGTGCTACAGATTGCTGGCTTAGATGGTCTACTTGGTCTGCGAGATGACCGCTGTTGAATGCAGCTGATCTGAGCATCTTGTTTCGCAAAAGACCGTACCAGAAGATGTTTACAGAGCAGGAGGTAACATTACTTAAATTTTCCTTTAGAGATGGGGACATTTGCAACCAGTGCCGAACCCTATTTCTCGTTCAACTACCAATAATTTTAGTCATTTACTGAGTAGAAATATTAAGTGTTTGTATCATGAACAGATTATTATTGTTAATTTAAAAATTAATTTGATTTGTAACTTCTAGTACTCTGGAGAATATCCTTTTCTGATTGCAATGAATTCTATATTAAATAAATCTAGCTTACCTATTATTTTGGTGTGTTAATTGTTAATACTTTCCACATACACTTTCTTAACCAGGGTTGTAGCATATTTAGATTACACAATGCAAATGGTTTAACTTTTTTTAGGTCATTTTGATTTTGTTTTTGGTATTTTTCTTAAGGTAATTAAAAGGCAGGTTGTTCACCACTTTCAGTTGATTTATTTTATTTAAGAGAAAATTATACACCACAACACTTTCCTTCATCTAGTGCTTTATTTGCAGAAATGTAAACATTCCTGACATAATAACCTTTAAATATTTTATGATTCCTTGATGGTTGGATTAAGGAAGTAGTGTTCGGTGGAAGGAATAAAACTTTTACATTTGGATGCAATGTTGTAAAGTCTTCAGTACTATATCCTTGAGCATTATCGAGAATTAGGAGAAATTTAAAGCTCGGATTTTGCTATTTTAAGTAATGCTTGACTTTAATCAATGAATTTTTCAAACTAGTCATGAAAGAGGACTATCACAATGTGGCCAACTTTCTGCAGCATACTGCATGTAATTCAGGTTCTAACTCTGGGCAATTAAGACAATGGAGACAATTAAGGTAGTGTGTATAAATAAAATCATGTTTGGCAAGGCTTTACTGTATTTTGTTGATGAAAATTTTTCATTTTGTAAGGTTATAAAGGGGAATTTTTTTTTTTCCTGCCAGCTTTTTTTTTAGGTTATGCATTCAGTATACATACTGTTTGAGTTTGAAACCACTGCCCTTTTTATTAAAAGATAATCTATAAAAAGAAAACTTTCTTTTAATAAAGAAGCGTTAGTATTATGTAAATAAATTACAAAAATAATTTTGAAGTAAGTGTTATTTTTGCATTTGAGGATACATATATGTCTCATAAATTTTATATTTTAGTATGTACCTGCAGAATTATTGCCAATTTATAGGGATGACTTCATACCTATATCTGATTTAATTACACCGAACCAGTTTGAGGCAAAGTAAGTCCAACTTTATTTAATTTTTTTTAATGTAAAAAAGATTACTAAATATTGAGATATGAAATTTTTTGTTATTGCTTTAACTCTGATGGTCATCAACGAGCTCAGCTCATATTCCAGTTACACATCACAGTGTGCACAAACGAGCACAACTCACATAAATTTATGACTGATAGATGTTGCATGTATTTGGGAAGAAACAATTATTTAACCTTGCAGCTGCTGAAAGATTATTATAATTATTATTATTATTTGAATTAAATTGCTTTTTTTTTCATTCAAAAAAACAGGTATTTTATTTTTTTATCATATTTTATTGTAGGAAATGTTATGCAGTGTAAATATAAAATGTTTTCATTGCATAACAAATATACTGTTTTGTATTATAATTCAATTCAGAACAGTATATTTGCTGTAAACTAAGGTTGTAAATTGAAATTATACCTTTATATTTCCATATAAGATGTGTGTTTCTGTTTTCATTCAAATAAGGCAATAAAATTAGTTTTTTATACTTAAAGCTAAATCTGTTGTGCTGTCTAGTTTTTTAGGAAAGTAAAATTAAACCATGAAGTAGCATTTCTTTAAATTCGCATTAAAAACGCACAATTTATTTCTATTCAGCTAGAATTAAATGAAAACTAAAACATTACTTTTTAATTTCAATAAAGTAGTAGTAGTATAAAATTAACAGTAATACACATTAAATTTTTTTTTTATGTATAATAAATTTAATTTTGAAAAAGTGAAATTTATTGAGAAGAAGGTATGGTTTGTTGCAAAAGGGAAATTTTTCTTTAATAAAATGTTTCTTAACTGTATTATATTCTTATACAAGTTTGTGAGAAAATAATAATATACTGGCCTAAAATTAACAGTGTAAGTTAGTTACTAAGAAGCATAATTTTACATAGCCTTGAAAGAAAACTTAGAGATATATGTATATATTTTTTCCCTTCCTGTAAAATGGGTAAAATTTATATAGAAGAAAGAAATTTCTTTTTAAAACATTATTGCTGGATGACTGAAAAAAGCCTTAGATACACTTTTTGCAAATGCCATATGTGCATCAGGTGTTCTACATTTCTGGTTTTGAGAATAAATGAATTTGTCTTAAGCATAATAATTATTTTGGTAATCAATGATTATGCAGTATGTGTATTTAAACTTTTAAAAGTTTAGATGCTGTGAATTTTTACAGTTACCATAGTAGTGAAAAAAATAATCACAGATCATTTATGACTTAATTAAAATAAACCCTTGTCAAATTACATCATTAATAAATTGCATGCATGGCAAAATCATGTTCCACAAAATTAACCCTTTCTATGGAAAAAAGTGTAAATTCAGATTAAGCAAGAAGTATGTATAATTAAGACAAATCTAAATATTGTTGTAATTTAAAGGCAACAAAATGAAGCAAATGGAAGTTGAAAAGATTTTTATAAACACTTAAATAAGTGTGTGATGCAATTATTTTCTTTAGTGATTTTTGCTTGGAACAATGACTGACACCACTTTTAAAAGCTATGTGGTAAGGAGTACAGAGTTTTGTTTGTTGTTTATTTCTTGTTTCTTCATTTGGATCAATCTGCATTGCAAAATCAGACAATTCCTGTGCCTTTTTTAATAATTCATTTAAATTCTAGTCAGTTAAAGGCATTTTATCTCATTCTCACTGCTTTCACTTTCAGCTGGTGTTACAAGATCATTCAATTCTTTATTCATCATTTCTTAATCAAATCCTTGAGTTCTCCTCCTTCTGCATCTGAAAATCCTTCATCAGCAATCGCTTTTGCAATTTTGACAATTTCTTTGGTGTAATTTCAGTTGATGGAAATTCTTTAAATTGTTGAAAACTTCTAGCTAGAGCTGATACCAGCAAGCATTTAATGTTGACAAATGAATGTTGAACTGCCTATGAATGAAATTCTAGCATTGGACAAATTAAATAGATGTGTTTAAAGTAACATGTATATGTGACTGCATTTTGCAAATTCACACTCAGGAAGGATTTACTGTATGTAATTAACAAGTAATTGCTACAGTATGTAAAAAAATAAACTTGAGTTCAGGCTTTGAGATTATTTGACAATTAAAATCATTAAAATTTAACACTATTCATTCTAGTTGGAAAAATCCCTAATGGCATTTAAAATAATGAAGAAATATCCATCTCCTATGTGCAGTATGAATTCACTTAAATACCAATTTAAGTTCTGTTGCACAGCTATGCTGTGTTTTCTATTAGGCCATTTTGTGCAGTTTCAGAGATCTTTATTGTTTTAAGCATGATGGCAGGATTCTGTAACTTTGAAAATATTCCATTGTGTGATGTTCTCTTTAACAGCAAGCACCTAATTTTTATCATTTCTTCAAAATGCAAGAGGAAAAAATAGAAAGTTTTTTTTTTTAATTCTTCCAAAAAAATTAAACTGGCCTATGTAGAATTAATCAGGGTTACATAAAAACAAAGTATAGATCTTCTGTGTGTGCTGTTTTACACGTAACCGTTATTGGGGCTAAATCGGACTGTTAGGTGACATTTCTTGTTTATAAAAACGTTCATTGGAAATATACATAGGTACCAAATTTTTTATAAATAATACTAGGTACAAAAGTATCTTGCAGGTACTCTACACTTGAAATTTCTTAGTATAGTTTGCGATTGAGCTGTCACAAACTCGTAAAACTGAATAGTGACTATGTTGTGAGTTATAGGTGTGATTACTCATACATCTCTAATATCTTATTTGATAGTATTTTATATAATATTTCTAGAATTAAAAGGTTAAATTTTATCTCTTAAAGGCAGTAAATCATTTTAGACTCCTAACTGGCATTGATATCAAGTCTCAAGAAGATGCTATAGAAGCTATGAATGTATTCCACAGCAAAAATGTTAAAACTGTTGTTTTATCTAGTGTTCAGCTGGATGTCTCTGAACACCTCCTTTTATTTGGAAGTTCAATAATAAGTGAGTTTTTGTGATGTTTTCAAATGTTGTATTTTTAATGCTAGAATTATGTTCTCAACAGGGCTTAATTTCTAAAATCAGAAGTGCCGGAGCCCTATGAAAGGCAGTCAGGAAGAAGGGGAAAAATAAATAAATAAAATAACTGATAAAATAATAAAATTGACTAATAATTAAATTTCAATAAAATATAAACATATAAATACAAATTGAATAAATTATTAAATTATTTAAATTATGATAAATAGTTAAATAAAAGAAATAAAATGCCTGGACTCATCATATTTGGAGCTCTGGTTGGACTTCGTTCAGGAAACTAAGCAATATCTTAGCATCCAGCTGAATTCAAGTCGTAAATATACACTATAATATACTACTTCAAGAGATGAATGAAACAAAAACCATTCTTTTTGTCAGCGCACGAATGAAAAAAAGTAAATCTATTAAAGTGTCACTACTGAGAAGAGAATGATTACTAGAAACAATATGAGCATATGGAAATAATTTTATGGAGAAGTGTAGCTTCCAAAACAAACAGAGAGGAGTCTTACGCTTTCTTGACAGCTAGAATTATATCGCCGCGGTGCAGGGCCAATATAATTCTAGCTGTCAAGTAGAATGCAAGTGGGCAAAAAAAATTTCCCCATAACCGATCCGATAATAATATGAGAACAAACGTAAGGTCTGCACAATTGAAAATTTTGTCCGAGCTTACATTGCACCGTGCTCAAGCGCAGTTTAAGCTCTCACAAGAAGGCTGTAAAGACAAAGAAGAGATACCCAGCAGGAAGTTAAAATTTTTGTCCCCCTTATTTGGTTACACAGTTAAAGTCTGCAAGAGCTTTGGAATGATGGGTCACTAGTGCTGGAAGTGCACGACCAAGGTAACCACTTTTAGTACTTTCAGGAATAAAACCTTTTTTCTGCTGTCATAAATTTATTGGAGAATAAGCCTTTGACATGTGGATGGGGGATTTTCTTTCCTTAAAAGTCTGAACACTTCCATCAAAGTGTTTATATCCAAGAGGAAGATAGGCATGCATTCGGAAGTTATAATCGCATATTTATTTTTAAGATAAATTTGTTTGCTGAAATTGTGTTTCATTTACACAAAAGAAGTGCAGGAGGCCTTTTATGTAGGGCTCCGGTGCGCTCCGGCTAGAATCACGAGTTACTTCAGAAATTGAGAAGTGCCGGAGCTGGGCTCCAGTGCAATTTAAGCTCTGGTTCTCAAAGTAATAAATCCAGCTTGCAAAATTTTGCACAGCTGCGGAAAGCCATGTATATGGGTATTAAGAATGAAAAATAATGTGGTTGTGAGGATTGTAAAATTGACTTTGTAATCAATATCTGTTGTCATGTATTTTAAAGCATACTCACATAATGAGAAGTAAATATAAGTATTAGAATAATAATGCAATTTAAACAAAAAGGTAAAAAGTAAAAATCTGGTTTTAATTTTATATTCGTGTTTAAGTGAAGTATTTAATATTTTTCAAAATCTAAATTGGGAGTTTTATTAAAAAAATAAAAAACATTAAATCTGAGAGGAATACTATATGTTTAGTAAATGAAGTATTGTGTTATTAATAAAATGTAATCAAAAAGTTTGGTAAATGATCACTAAAATCTCTGTAAAATACTTCAGCAAATATTCTGATTGGCTTTCAAGCATAATCTGTCTTTGATACAGTGCAACTCTGACACTTTTTGTATAACTATTAGAAATGAATAGCTCTCTACCAGCAGTGCTTTTGGTTCACAGCCTTTTGGATGTATGAAATGTCAAAAATTTTGTCCCTTTTCAGTGCAGATTTTAGTTCTTAAGTCTGATGGGATAAGCTCAGGAGAATGTAATGGATGGTGTATAGCATAGTAATTTGGCAGATTTGCAACTATCTGCTTCACATTTACAGCAGTCTGAGGTTGTAGGTTGTGTAAAAAAAAAAAAAAAAGATCCATGTTCAGTGAACTGAATGTGGCACAAGAGCCTCACAGTAAAAATCTTCATCCATTTAAGGCCTTCAGATATGAGTTTATTATGGATTAGGCCATGTGTCTCGAAAAGATAATTGACATTGTCTTTACCTTTGGCTTTTGGAAGTTAACCTTTTTCATATTTAGTTGTGAGGGATTATGCCAAGTTTATGGATTGTGCTGGAAGCATCATGTTTTGCCTCCTGTTGCAGTGAATTGTAAGCACAATTATCTAACAAGTTCTTAAAATTGCTATAGACTGCTTTTCTATGTTGTTTTTGTTTAGTAACGTAGTGAGAGTGAAAATCCTCACTGACAGTGGTTTTTATGATTTCATAAGAACATCTAATTCTTCTGTCATTTAGATGTATGAATAATAATGCAATAATAATTAATGAACTCTCAGCATGTGGTGATATTTTGCCTGTCATCGGTCTCCCACATCTATGCTCATCTTCAGCAGCTTCTCACCCTTTGTGGAAATGTTTAAATCACTCACATACTGTTTTTCAAATCACAGCTGCATCTTTGTACAAAACTTTATGCATTTTTGGGGGATTTTACCCATTTTGAAACTGAATTTCATATTGACTCTCTGCTCCATTATGCACTGCATTAAAAATATATGCAGTCAAAAGTCGTTAATTCGGACACCCATAATCCGGACCTCAAAGGTATAAACTTTCTGCGCATGCGTCGCATTTATGCATGCGCGCAAGACCTTTACGGCTGCACATATGCGTGTGCGCAAGCGCGTAATATGTTTACGCATGCGCGTTTAATGTATAACGGATGGTATAAGTTAAAATTATCTAATTATCTATTTCAGTTAATGTTGCAGATTGGTTTTTTTCCTTAATCTTTGAATGGATCCGGCTTATTATTTTTTTGCAGACTGTTAGAGCATTTTATAAAAGAGCTTGAACTTTCGATTATATCAAATAGAATTCCAAGTGGGCTTCAAAGATCTACAAAGCGAAAGTATGTTTCGATGTCCATCAAACAAAAAGTGATTGCTGCAAAAAGTGGATAAAGGCATGAAGAAAGTAACAGAGAGGTTGGTGAAAACGAAAAAATTTTGATTGACAAGTTAGTCGGTATTCTTGACACAGCAATTACGTGACTTTATTACTGAACAAAAAACTATGTCTGTTTATAGAATTAAAGAGAAAGTATTATCACATAAAACGAAGCAACTTAAACAACTGACATTGAAAGAAATGTTTAATAAAGTAAACAAATAAAATGTTGCCACTTTATATTCTAGTATCTTACAGTATTGCTTCAAATTGTATCATTTTTAAAAATCTTTATGCATTCGTTGTATTGCGTTATTGTTTGTTATAATTATAGAAAATATATTATCTTTGTCATAAGTTTTGTGTATTGAAATTTCTTGCAGTGAAAGGGACTGAAAATATATAGTTGAAACGATCAGTTTTAGTATATTTTGTTCAAATTGGTTTATCATTGGCATCATTGAACATTACTGAACATTGATGTATCATTGAAAAAAGCATAAACATTTCTTGGTACTATTTGATTTCCATTGCCCCAGCAATAAGCCAATATACCATTTTCTACAGTATACCATTTTGTACTATACCCTAGCAATATACCATTTTGTGTGAAAAATGGTACTTTAATGAATTTGTCGAAGTCCATGGTATCGTAATAGTCTTTTCTCAATTTAAACATTGTAAAGAAGGTGTTGCGAAATTATATTTAAAAAATAGTATTTTGACTTTCAACTTCTTTCTGTTTGCTGAAACTGACAAACTGCATGTTATCATAATAGTCTTTTTTCAGTTTAAACATTTTAAAAAATTTTAATTTACCAAGGAGTAAGGAAGATGCCATATCATTTTTCCAGAAAAAGGATATATTACCGTAAAAGTAATTTTATTTCTGTTTTCAGTATATGTTAAAACTAATTATCATGATAAACCATTAAAATGAACAATGCGGTACATGTTATTAAGTGTAAACTTAATTAAAAATTTAATTAATTAATTTTACATGGTCAAGGAAAGAGAATATGCAATCTAAATAATTTGAGTTCCAGTTATCTGTATGCTAACGTTTTGGGTTTTACTGTATATTGTTTTTCTGCTAAGTATTTAATTTCAGGTAAATTGTAGCCATATTTAAGTTTTGATTGAAAGAATTTTTTTTAACCATCTTTGTTTTTAAATAAATTTGAGATATTTTTTCAATTTTTGATTACCTACATTTTGGTACTTTGGAAAGGCAAATTTTGTGTTTATTAATGTGTATTGTGATAATGTGACAGTTTATATTTCAGTGTTTTTCTTTTTATTATTATTGTTAATTGTAGATGGCCGAACTATTGTTTCAATGGAAATTCCAAAGTTAGATGCAATATTTACTGGCACTGGAGACTTGTTTTCAGCCTTGCTTTTAGCTTGGATGGCAAGGACTAATGGAGATTTAGTTGTAAGTATTAACTTATGTTCTTACTATATCATAAATAATAATATTTTTTTTTAATTTTAATTTTTACTTAGCCATGCATAGTGAATTTTAAAGGAGCATATAAATCATGAAAAAAATCACTTGCGATAAAAATTGATATCAATTTTCTTTAAATCAGAATCTGATTAAATCAAGAATTATGTTTGTATTGACTAAAATACTGTAGATTTTGCTTTTTTTATGAATTTAATTATACGAATGTCTAGATTTGAAAATTATAGTCAGTGTCAAAAAGTAATGTTGAACATAATCAATAGATGTAGAAAAACATTGACGTTATACATAGACATAGAAAAAATATATGTTAATGAAGAGTGTTTCTTTTCTCTCTTTTTTTTTAGTTTGAATGCTATTTGTCTAACTTTCTGAATTGCATTATCTTTTATGAAATAGGATTTTAATCTTACATCTAATAATATTTCAAAGAAAATTTATAGTATATTTAATTAAAAAACAGTTTTATTCTATTTTGTTTAAGATTTCCTGTGAAAGAACTATCAATTCATTGAAACGTGTTTTAGAAAGAACATTAGATTATGCATCAGGTTGGTTTTTTGAGATTTTTTTTTTTTTTAAATATTTTTCACGATTAATTTGTATTTTATTGCAGCTTTGAAAGACCCATCTTGTTCTGCTTCAATGGAATTAAAATTAATACAGAGTAAGAATGACATTGAAAACCCACCAACAATTTTAAAATGTCGAAAACTGTGATGATTTTCGTTATATATGGGATGAGAATTTTCTCCATCCTTCTAGATAGATACTGGTGTCCACCAATGCTTAAATGTGTGTGTATATTTACTCAGAATTATAAAATTAATTATGTTCTTGTTTAGGAAGAGGAAGCACTGTAGATCATTTCTTTTATTATTTTTAGATTTAATTAATTTTAATAGAGAGAATAAAACTTAAAAATAAATTCCTGAAAAATTATATGAGGAGTATTCTTATACTTTAAAACTGAGATTTGGTAGACTAATCATAATTTTATACCATTTGATATTTCTGAAAATGTTCTTACATATCTGCTTAAGTTATAATGACTTAAAAAAGAGACAGCGTAATTTAAAATAAGAGGGAAAATGCATCAGGGGCTAACAAATGGTATTTTCAGGAACTTTAGACATATTTAAAAATGTTATTTCGAAACATTTTTGACCAGTAATGGTTCTAGAGATATTTAATACCTTTTTGTTATATAAGAAGAAGAGAAAATCACATATTTTAAAATAACTTCATATTTTTTTATAAAAATTTGTGTTGTCAGTTTTATTTATATCAGATCTATAGTTTCTTTGTCATTACTAAAATTATATGATCATATTCAAGAAAATCTTAGTATATTTTAAGTGTGAAAAGTTTTTAAAGGTTTGTGCTAAACCTATTCGTTACTCATGCTAATAGGCTTTTCTTTATCTGTAGTAAGTTTTTGTTTAATAATATTTCATGTATATATTAAAAAATTGCATCTGATGTTTATCATTAAAGTAGTACGTTAATCACTTCTAAATGAGATGAGATTTTACTAGGTAGTTGTAGAGTAAATTGTAGGAGTTCATAAAAATTTCAGGAATTACAAAGATTACAGTAATAAATGCGATTTTTTTTTTTTTTTTTTTTTTTTTTTTTTAACTTCTAAAGAATCATGCTAACATTTTTAAAAGGTATAGTTTATACAAAGTAGAAATTTAAGTAACTACCAAATAAAAATATTACATTATTCATTTTTAAAATTGATACTGTTTAAGCTTGTAAATTCCTTTCATCACACATATCATGCTGTACATATGTTAGTACGTAACAATATGTTACCTAATAAGCATTTATGGAACCTTCACTCTCCTAAGTGATGCATTAGAGTATCTTTGCAAATTGAGATCTCTGCCACTTTCGGAAAACCTACCCCTAAAATTACGGCGGCTTGAACATTTCTTACAACAGAGAAAATAACTTCTTCTGTCTCATCCTACACATATACATGTAATAACATCTTACCAATGCATGTATACTGCTTGCCTTGTGTGGCACTAACATTTGTCCCTCGCAAGTTAAAAACATTTTTGAAATAAAACTACATTGAGTTTGTGTATCGATCATTGCTTCTGCAGGGATATTGTTCAGTAACACCTGCACAATTGGCAGCTCCAAATTTTTCATCATTATGATATTTATTTGAACTTCTGAAGGATTTTTTTTATTCCAGAGAGAGATTGTGTCCTCTTGTGCCATTCCTAGTTTAACTTGTCCTCTTGATTTTTCTTTTGCCTGTAAGTTTAGTGACCTTCACTCGTGGTTAAATTCTTCCTTGTACTCTCAGATTATTTTTTTGACACAAACTGCAGTTTTTCACTGAGGTGTTGCTCTAAAACTTTGCTCATTTGGCCTCTCATCATAACCCGCTATTTTTTTTTTTTTTCTGCCATTTGTCTCTTTGGGAACTTGCTGCTTAATTAGAATAGACTTTCCTATGTTGTTGGATTTGGGAGCTCAAAATAATCTTTGATTGGGGGTTGTAACCTTAGCCAAATAACTTGAATAATATTTTCATCTGGCCTGTTGCTGTACAACAAATTAAAAATTTGTACTTTGCATAAGAGAAAATCTGTCAAGCCCTCGACTATAATCTAGATATAGCTCTGATTCTAATATAGCTCTGATTCGAACCTGGCCTTGTCTTTTACAATGGGGAATGCTTTAATAAGAGCATTTTTTAAATTCTCAGATGTGTAGATATTGCTTCCTAGCTCACTTAACTCAAATTTCCCAATGCATGTATACCATGTGGTGGTCTGGACTTGAAGTGCAGCAGTATAGTGACTTTTTGTGCCACTGGCGCTGGATGTAGTAGGAAATGGGAATTTAATTGTTCGAGAAAATTTGTCACATAGTTTTTCCCATCAAAAATGACTGCTGGTTTCATATTAGCCTTTATTTTATCAATAATAAATCCAAATCCCTTCATGGGATTAACTGCAGTCAGCAGAACTTGCAGCATTGAGAGGGCAAAAGTAAATTTTGCTGTTTCCTGAGATGATTTGTTTCAAATCATCAGGTGCCACTAGGGAGTTTTGTGAAACTTTGGTAACATAAACTAGATCCAAAAACTCTAAAAGATGACATGCGAATTATCTCTATCTCTTGTAAGTATCACAGAGACAAGGAAAGGGTGCAAAGGACCCATTTATTAATCCAAATGAAGTTTAGGAACTAACCAACCAAAGGCACTAATTCATGCTTACAGAAGTCAACACTTTTGGCTTAACTCAAAGATAATGGTAACAGCTTCACAGTTAACTAGCATGCAAGCTGGCTCTGACCAAATTGGGCATAAACAAGCCTAATGGCAAGAATTACTCAACACCACATAATTTTAACTGCTAGAGAATCAAAGTTAGCAACATGGCCTTGAAGCAGGCCATATGCACTCTGAACACATAAGACCATTCAAGTGCATATGGCCTTGAAGCAGGCACTCTGATATTCATCATCCAAAACTTAAATCTTTCCTCCTAATTTAAATGTATGCAGGGTTGCCACGCTACCTGGAAAACCGGAAAAAGTCAGGAAATTCGGAAATTGACCAAAAAATTCAGGGAAATGTCAGGGAATTTAAGTGTTTTAGTCAAAATCTGGAAAAGTTAGGGAATTTCATACAACGATCTCACCAAAAAAAGGGAGTTTTGCGCTGACGTCAGAAGAGATCACTTTTTTGGCGAATTGTGTATCATGTGAGTGTCATTCGGGCAGCTGGCATAGAGCCAATTTTCGCAGCTCATTTGATTGTCTTTTAGAAAGGCAAGCAAGTTTCCCGCAACTTTTGGTTTCCAGTAACCTCGAGATCGCATGTGCAGTGAATGACCAAAGAAAGTACCTGTTCTCGTTAAACAAATGGGTTTAATCCTAGTATACGGTACGATGAAGGTTAGATAAAAAAGTGTATTTAAAGAAGGAAAACTTCTCTGCAACAGACGTGGCTCGGTCCATCATAGCGGGAAACAGCTGTGCATGCGCGATATATGTCGCCAAAGCTCGAAACCGGTGTCGAAGTTCAAGGTCACGTTATTAAGAGTTCATAAAATGAATATCGTTTAAAATTCTTTAAACTCTAAAGGAAAAGAAATTTTTTGGCGCAAGTAAATTAATTCATGGATTTATTTTGACGGGGGAAAATAAATCTACGAAAATCCGTTTTAAAATTATTGTGAAAATCCAAGAGAAACGTTTTATCAAAGAACGTTTTTTCTTGGATTTTCGCAATAATTTTAAAACGGATTTTCGTAGTTTTCTTTTTTGTGAAAGAACGTTTCTTCTTAACACGTGTTTCTCAATTTCCTGTACACATCGGAGCGGGAAATTCTGGCCGTTCTGTCGTGAAATCCCTTGGCAAATTTTCCCTTCGCTTTTTACATAGACGTTCTTAATTTTCAAAATCATGCGAAGGTCGTATCGTATACTAGGATTTTACCACAAAATCTTTTTTTTTTTTTTCTTTTAAATAAATATTTTGTCATTTTGCAGTAAAATAAAAAATAGCAATCAGTCATCTAGGCTAACCATGTAATATAACTATATTTGCGAAAGTATTGTTTATTATTCTAATTCAATTTTTAAGTAATTATCTTTATATTCATATATTAAATGTCTGCTCTAAATTTATTTATTAGTAAAATAATATTTCCAAATTTCAGTAAATTTTGTCTGGCAAATCCTGAAATATAAAATACGAAATTTAATGCACATATTTTTCATGTATGCTGCGAAAATAATATAAAATACCTCAATTTAGTAAAAAAATATAATTAAATAGATTCTTTCTTTCGTTTAGCTGCAGATGTCTGCAAAAAAAGCCTTATTTTATTCCAGATTGGGCAGATTCAATTTCAATCTCCAGTGGAGAAAACACTCCTATTATAATTATATTTGTTTTCAAGTGTTAAGGTGCCATTTAAGAATACACCTCCAAATTAAATTTACCTAAATCTAACCTAACTTTTAGCATGCGTTGTGATTTAAAACCGGATTAGCGGTTGAACTGGGATGATCATGAGTAATATTAAATAAAACGTACATTGTTATCCAATGTATATACTTAAATGTTATTAAGTTTTAAGCGGAAAAAGTAAACAAAATTATCAAACAAAGTGTACCAAAATAATTAAGAATAAATTCCTCGGGATTTATTAATAATTAAGTGAATTTGCTACACAATACAAGTAATACCATAATTAATTTACCTCTTAGCACAGCCAAACGTACATACGGATAGACTGGAATTTTCTCGAAACAATACCTGGAAAACGGAAAAGTCAGGGAATTTCATTCTCCTCTTTGAGTGGCAACCCTGTGTATGTCTTTATACTAAAGAATTTGGTGCCATCCATAAATATTGTCAAGATGTGAAAAATCTTTGTTACAAATTAAAAGGAACACAAAGCTGCTAGTTGTAAGAAAACTAAGAATTAATTTATTTTATAAGAATTCACATCTGTGTTTTAAAATAAAATATTGTGTACTAATGTGTTTTTAAATAAAATAACTAAATAAAAGGAGAGTTGCTCTGCTGTGCTTCTGTCTTCTGTTATGTAACTCATGGAAATAAAATGCAGTTTACAAGAATCTGTTAAATTTGATTAAATGTGGTTTTAAAAATTGTTTTTATGAATTCTATTCATAAATGTGTTTTAACCAACTGAATGTAAAATATATTCAAGAATATTATGCAGTAACAGTTAAATGATGAAAATACAGCTTTTATGTACTTGCTCTAAAATCACTAATTTTTGCAGAATTAATTTTTAAAAAAATTTTTATGTAAATTAAATAAATCTGAAATAAGCAAATCTAGCAGGTTTACTAAATTAAATGATAAGCAATAAGTTTTGGTTTTACTGAAGCCTTCTCTAAGAACTACAAAATGAAATCCAGTGCTAAAAGATTGTTGCTTTAAAAGAGATTATTATTTAAAATGCATGTTATTTGTTTGAAATTTATTAGTAATTTTGTGTTTATGACTTTATATATAAATTTATATATATAGTTATATATATAAATTTTCAAAATGTATTGAGCTTTGTATATAAAAATCTAATGAATATGCTGCATATTTGTTTGCATTTTATTTAATATGAATTTATGTAGCTGCAGTTTTTATACTTAATAATATATTACTACCTATATTTCCTAATACTATTTATTTTGCTAATGTTAATAAATTTACTAGTATTGTTTTTATATTTACTGATATATAGAATACTATTTAATTTTTCCAGTTAAAGTATGTTTAAATACATGTGCTGGTAGCACAATCTAATAGCAAATGAAACATCAGTCTTCCATTTTATATAATAAGCACTCTTCCTGTGCCTTAAATAAGGTCAATTTTTCTCTTTCAAAAAAAATTGTTAAGACTGCTATTATGAGTTTTTTTTTTCTTTTAAAAATTACCTTTAAATTCAGTGATTTAGTTATTTTTGAGAAATGCTTAAGAACTTTATGTTTTGAGCAACTGTTGTTATAAAATTGTTTTACCCTTTCCTGTTAGAATTTAATGCTATTTTTTTAAATCAAAACACTGTAAAATTGAATTGATCACATTTAAATTTTTCATGCAAAAATATTTATTGCCTTCTTTAAGCTCTAAAATGTTAATTATAAAATATCCAAATCTATACATACTTGTTAATATTTACACATATAATATATATATTTAAATAATATAAAAGTTAATTTATAATCATCCATGCTTGGAAAGTAGAATCTTTACAATTAGCATTTTTCATACAGTTTAATTATATGTTGGAGTAATCTATGAATGTTTTAAATTAATGATATGTAATCTGTGTTGCCATAGAAGAGTTGTTCTAGTATGAATTGTTTTCAAACTTTTTAATCATTCTTCTTCCCCTTTTTTCAGCTCTTTTAACTTGTGTTCTTGATGGGAATTTCTGTGTAATCAAATTATTGAAATGCAATACAGTATATATATAATATATATATATAATACATATATTGACATTTTTTTTAATTATATAAGTTATGAATAATCTTGTACTTAATCTGTGCATATATTAAAAGGTGTATTTTGTGTTAGCTATCAAGCAATGTAATTTTCATATTTTTGACATGAATGAACTTTTTTCCCTTTGTGTGCAATTTTTTAATCTTTATTCAATAAACATGTGATAAATGTTTACAAAATTATTAGAGAAGATATTTTTTATATTTTTGATATTTTTTAAGTAATATATTTGAGATATCTTGTACTTCTTCCTAGTTTCATGATAAGCAGATAATTATAAGCTTTACATTATGAAATGTAGAAATACTTATA